TTCTGTCATTATTTTTTCCAATAGGTTTTCAATATCTTGTTCTCCCTCTTCTTCTTCTGGCACCCCCATGATGCAAATGTTGGTATGCTTGAAGTTGTCCCTGAGGCTCCTTACACTATCCTCATTTTTTAAATTCTTTTTTTAAAAAAATATATTTTATTGATTTTTTACAGAGAGGAAGAGAGAGAGAGAGATAGAGAGTTAGAAACATCGATGAGAGAGAAACATCGATCAGCTGCCTCCTGCACATCCCCCACTGGGGAAGTGCCCACAACCCAGGTACATGCCCTTGACCGGAATCGAACCCAGTACCCTTCAGTCCGCAGGCCGACGCTCTATCCACTGAGCCAAACCGGTTTCGGCTAAATTCTTTTTTCTTTTTGGTGTTCTGATTGTATGTTTTCTCCTTCCTTATCTTCCAAATCTCTGATTTGAATATCTGCTTCATCTACTTCACTGTTGATTCCCTGTAATGTATTCTTCATTTCTGTTTATTTTTTATGTTTTCTAGTTTCCTATCTCTTTATTGAAGTTCTAATTTCACCTACTCTTCCCCTAAGTTAATTGAGCATCCTTCTAACCAGTGTTTTTAACTCTACATCTAGTAGATTGTTTGTTTCCTTTTTCTGGAGTTTTGTTTTTTCTGGGTTTTTTTCTTCATCTTGGAATGTTTCTTTGCCTCCGCATTTTGGCAGCATCCCTGTGTTTGTTTCTGTGTATTAGGTAAAGCTGCTTTGTCTCCTGGAATTGGCAGAGTGGCCTTGTATAGTAGGTGTCCTGTAGGGTCCAGTGGTTCAGCCTCCCCAGTCACCCAAGCAGGGCACTTCAGGTGTACCCCATGTGGAGGCTGTGTGCACCCTCCTGTTGTAGTTGAGCCTTGATTGCTGTTGGCTCTTCAATGGGAAGCACTTACCCCAGGCCAGTTGGCTGCAAAGACTGGTTGCGACCACTGTGGAGGATCAGCTGTGCTGGGTCCATCCCACAGAGCAGTACTTAGTTCCAAGGGGCTCCTCAGTCACTTGGCTGGGCAGGACATAGCCAAGTAGAGTTAGTTGGGGCTGAATGTCCCTCAGAACTTCAGGTAGCCACTCTGTGAAAAGAACGTAAGATCTGAGGAAATGTCATCAACCCATCCATTTTCAAAAAGATACTTCTGAATGCACAGGAAAATATTTTCAGACAATTCTCCTATAGGGTTCACCTTCTCCATTTCGAGCCTCCAGTGTCATTAGACAGAGACCATAATTGAACTTGGCCACAGCAGAAGAGATGAGATCTTCTTGGAATCACAGAAGCTGGCGTCTCCCAATGGGAGCCAGTCTGTTCTGAGCATCTGTCTCTGGCTCAGCGTTGTTGGTCTGAGCCCAGTTTTTCCATACTTCAAGCCCTTCTTCTGGCTTTGGAGAATTTGGAAGCAGAAGTTCTGGGGAAGGCTGTGGTGCCCACTGAGTCTGCCTTGTGAGTGAGTCACTGTGGAGGCGGTTGGGTGGTGCTTCGATGTGGTCTGAAGCTGTCCGCTGAGTGTACTGGCTCTGCATTTTGCTAATGATTAGTGAACATCTTTTCATGGGTATGTCCTCTTTGGAGAAGTGTTTATTTGGGTCCTCTGCTCATTTTTTAATTGGATGGGGGTTTTTGTGTGTGTTGAGTTATATGAGTTCTTTATAAATTTTGGATATTAACCCTTTTCCCTTGAATGCATTTTTTTTTCTTTGTAGCTTCCATTATTTTTTCATTCTTATAGGAAAATTGTCTGAAAATAAAAAATTGCATATCTTATGTAGAGTTCTCTTGGTACTTAATAGATGTTGTTTTAATGAATGATATTTGGAGCAATGACTGTGCAAAAGAGAGACTTCATTAAGTCTCGAGCATGAAAAACCTGGACAGTTTTTTCCATTGACTTTTTAAAATGTACCTTTAGATGGAACATTCATATCCCATTTGTGTCTTATTTTAAAAAGTCAGCAAATGTTTATTAAGAGCCCATTACATAAAAGCTCCTGGATCCGGGATTAAAAAAGAGTCATGGACAAAACATTTGGCATGGCTTTAAAGGGAAGGACAGACATGTAAACTGTATTGCCCCCAAAGAAAAGTCCAAGTCATTGAGCAAGTCTTCAGAAGGCTCCTAGAGAGTGTTGATTGAACTAAAACACACACAATAAAACTATGAAAGGTATTTTAATTTTCCTGAGATTTCGAGTGAAAAAGGTTGAATTCAGAAGGCTGTTTATATAGCTAGTCATGCCTTTTAGTCCAAACAAACATTTAGTGTACTCCAAACAAAAACAGCAAAGCAACCAGGAGGTTCATCAGTGGCCCACTGATATCACCTCTTGCCATAGGGCTGTGGTCGGCAAACTGCGGCTTGCAAGCCACATGCGGCTCTTTGTCCCCTTGAGTGTGGCTCTTTCTAAGCCTTAGGAGTACCCTAATTAAGTTAATAGCAATGTACCTACCTATATAGTTTTAAGTTTAAAAAATTTGGCTCTCAAAAGAAATTTCAATCGTACTGTTGATATTTGACTCTGTTGACTAATGAGTTTGCCGACCACTGCCATAGGGTAACCAGAGGGAAATATGTCGAGCAGAAGAAGCCACAAAGGAGGCAGCAGAAGAGATGGTACCTGTTGCCAGAGGTTATCCTGGAGGGACTCCAGGAGCAGAGCCAGGAGGTGCAAAGGACTGAAATGGGAAGTGAAAGGGTAGGGGTTAGTTGGAAGCTGGTGTAAGTTAGAGCTACCTCAAATGATTAATCCAGTCCCTCATTCTTCAACAAGAATATTACAACCAAGGTGTATCAGGCCTCAGGTGAAAACCAGCAGTGTGAATGAAAATGTGACTGGCATTTAAACTTAGCAGCTGCACTGTCGGGCCCCCCTTTCCAAATTCTGAGAGAAAATGATTTTGAATGAAGAATTCTGTACCCAGCCAAACTTTCAATCAAGTGAATCAGAGGACTAAGGATTGAGAAATGTACCTCCCTTGCACACCTTTTTGAGGTAGGTTATCTGACGGTCTTGATGGTGTGTTTACTAGGGATAGAAAAAGTAGCGAAAACATTCTAGAACTTCAATCAAAAACGATTTGAGGATGATTGCTATGCAGCATGTTTGGAAAGCAGTTGATTCTAATTTGAAAAGTCCTTAAGAATGGAGTAGGTACCATGCAGTAGAATAAAAAGCTGGAAGATTTTAGTGATATGGAGAGGAAAGCATAAGTTTCTTGTGCAGTTACCCAAGAGGAAAAGTAGTTAGAAGTTCTGGGAGATATGTAAGCCTGTATCAGAAAGACATGGTCCAAATATTCGGCGACTTAAAAAGGGTAGTCTGATTTTAAGCAGTTGGAGGACGATAAAGAGAATCCATTTCACCTTAAGACTGAGAACATTCTTCTTCAAGTGATGCATGGATCATGTCATGGGACTCACAGGGAAGGAAATGTTATCCTGGTACATTGTTGTGGGTGCTCTGCAGTGATCGGTCTAGAATCTATGGGCAAAGTACAGAAGAATTCACTGGCTGCCTCTGGGTGCAGTCTGGGGGGTTAGATAGGAAAGGGTGGAGGGACTTGTTTTCTTTTTAACAAATTTTAAAATCATTTATATATATTAATGTAGTAATTTAAAAAATAAGAGATCAACCGAAGGACTTGTATGCATGCATATAAGCATAACCAATGGACATAAGACACTGGGGGGTAGGGGAGGCTAGGGGACTGTCAAGGGCGGGGGGAAGAAATAACAAAAAAATAACTGATTATCAAAGGGTTCAGGATTTAGAATCACAAAAGCTCTTGGTTCAGGTGTCCAGTATTAGTGCCTCTTCTGTTCTGGTGGGCAAGTCATGTAGCCTCTGCAAAGCCTGTGTCTTCACCCATAATAATGCCACCCACCCTATGAGGCACACAGTATTATCACAAGGATTCAATTGGATAATGTACGTTCAAGCTCTTTGTAATCTAAGAACCAGACGAATGTTCTCTCTACTTTATGCTGTTAATTATGTACTTTGTTAGAGGAAGTAGTTAGGTTGAAATTATAACATGGGTGGGTATGTCTGTGGTCCTACTTAAGAAAGTTCCCATAGTTTCAGTCTCTTAAGTGATTTCAGGTCACGAGGACTACATTTTCTAGCATCTACTCAGTAGCTCACACTATTCTTAGTGCTTGATATGGAATTAGGCATTTCTTAGATTTCCCCAGAAAATCACTGATGCAAGGAGAAAGGACTGTAGATCTCCAGGGGGCTGTTAGCTCCTAGTAGAAAAGTCATGTGAACCTTACATTCTACTCTATAATATGCCTTGTTTGTCATAATTTAACATTGCTCTTTAGTCCAATTCACCAAAAAGATGTGCCCCTTTTCCTCTGTGGCTTCACACTCCCCCTGCTGACCACTGGGGTCAGTGGTAGGGGTGGGTGTCTCCCAATTTGAAAAACACTGAATGAGCCCTGGCCGGTGTGGCTCAGTTGGTTGAGCATCCTCCCGTGCACCGACAGGTCACCTGTTCAATTCCTGGTCAGGACACATGCCTGGGTTTCAGGCTCGATTCCCAGTAGGGGGCGTGCAGGAGGCAGCCAATGAATGATTCTCACCATTGATGTTTCTCTCTCCTTTCCTCACTCTGAAATCAATAAAAACATTTTTTAAAAAGAAAAAAAAACCCAGAGTGATATTTGGGGTGGCCTTATGTAATGCTTAGAACATTATGATGTAGGTGATAATATTCCAATATTACTCAGCTAAGTTCCAAAGCATTTGAATAATTTGCCCAGGGTCACATAGCTGGTAAGTAAAGGAACTGGATGCCTCCCCCCAAAAAAAAAATTTTGTTGGACTTCAAAAGCATTTGCTCAGCCCTGCCTTTAGAGGTGGAAACCTAAATTAGCCTTTTGTAGAGTTCCTTTTTATGTACTCAGAAAATAGAATGCAAACATTTTTTACTTTCTTCTAGTTTGGGTCCTTATTCATTGACGATTTTGTCTCTGTTTTCAGCCAAAGCTCCAGGCAAACCTATTCAGGTAGTTTATGTGCCCTCACATCTGTTTCACATGCTATTTGAGTTGTTCAAGGTAAGTGGAATTTAACAACATGGGAAGAAGTCTTCGTTTTAAATTACTTTGATTCAGGGCATAATGGATTCATTACATTAGCATAAGAAAAAGGTTTTGCATACCATTTAAAAAATTCTATTTCTGATATCCTGTGGGTTTTATAATTTGTACACTGTGAGCTGAAAAATTGCTGTGTACAATGTAGTCTTCGTGAATATTAGTATATATTGATTTTGAAGCTTAATTGTACTTTAGTGATTTGATGTAAAATCCATACTGTTTTTTCTTCAGTTAGGAGATTAGAGATGCTTTTTAGTTTCCAAACCTGGCAAGGTTTTATTGATGGTACACAGATCAACATAAAAACAATTTTACACATATTTACGCCTCTGAACATTAACTGTGCTGGTGCATTAGTCGTTGTTCTAGTCCTGAGAGCTACCGTAACCCTTTTACATATTCGAGTCAATTCAGAAAATCTGACAGAGGCAGAGGAGAAAGATATGGAAGGATCAAACCAAAAAAGACCCTCCCCCCAAAAAAGAGTCTTTAGAATCTCTCTGGCTTAAGCTGCTGCTTTTGTTAACCAGTAGCTAATGGCATTTACAGTAGCAGAATTACAGGCACAAGGCTTTGGAGCTAAAATTTCATTTCTGCCACTATGTGCGAAACCCTAAATTGAACACCTGAAAATCACTTATGCTGATTTGCTTCCCCAAAACGATGCTGTTATTAATGCAACACTCAAAGGTGGAGATGGGCATTCAGTTGTGAACTTTCTCCTCAACAGCTGTGGCTTCTTTTTAACTGGCGTCTTCCACTTTTTTTTTTTCAACCAAATGATTCATTCTGTGGGAAGCAGGTTTTCCACCTGCTTTTGAGGAAAGGCACTCTGAAACCACAGGCTGATAAGTAGATTTCAGGTTCACCAGTGAGCCTCTGCGGCCTTGTGCCACACGATGAAAACATTCCTCTTGGTTGAAAGTCGAATGGCTTGAATACCCTAAAGCCAAACTAAAAGAAAAAAGGGAGGAAAACCCTAGCCAGTTTGGCTCAGTGGATAGAGCGTCGGCCTGTGGACTGAAGGGTCCTGGGTTTGATTCTGGTCAAGGGCACGTACCTGGGTTGCAGGCATGATCCCTGGCCCTGGTTGGGGCTCATGCAGAAGGCAGCCAATTGATGTGTCTCTCTCACATCGATGTTTCTCTCTGTCTCTTCTCCCTTCCACTCTCTCTAAATATCAATGGAAAAATACCCTCAGGTGAGGATTAACAAAAAAAAGGGCGGGGGGAAGAATTGATGTGTAGTATGGTAGATGGGACTTAAACTAGATGAAAAACAAAGCACCAGGGAGTGTTTCCATGATCTGAACCCACATTGAGCTAAGTTCTTTAGAGGGAAAAAATGTCATATAAATGCAACCAATATTCACTCCCCCCCCCCCCACACACAAAAAAAATAGTGCATAAGTAAGCTCGTGTGAGTTTCTTTTTTAAAATTGTGGTTTGTGAGGGTTGTAAAGAAAAGGGCTTATTATTTCAGAACTCAATGAGAGCAACAGTTGAACTCTATGAAGACAGAAAAGAGGCCTACCCAGCGGTTAAAACCCTTGTCACTCTGGGTAAAGAAGACTTGTCCGTTAAGGTAACTGCTTTGTTTGTACATACACTTTAATTGTCAGTTCATGTCATAGTATCTAGACATTGTGGAATCAGAGGGAAGGGAAGAAGACTGACATTTGCTGAATGTCGGTATTCATCAAGCTCTATGTTAGATCTTTGACTTAAGTTACCTCGTTTAAACTTTATTAGCAGCCTGTGTTTCAGGGAGCTAAACAGGGTCTCAAACCCAAGCCCGTGGGATCCCATGACACTTTCCTACCTCCTTTGTTTTACACTGTTCATATTTCATTGGGGGCTCAAAGCCCTTGTACACTTGAGAGTAACCTCATAAGGGCTTTATTTAAAAAACTTGTTGTCTCCTATTAAGTCTGGAATGACTCCTCCCTCCCCCCCCTTTACCACCACCTCCTCCTCTTCTTTCTCCTCCATTACAGATCAGCGACCTAGGTGGTGGCGTCCCCCTTCGAAAAATAGATCGTCTTTTTAACTACATGTATTCCACTGCTCCTAGACCGAGCCTGGAGCCTTCAAGAGCTGCCCCTCTGGTAAGCATCTTAAACTGCTGCTTAAGGAAAGGCCGTTAACATGGGCAGGGACTCCCACGGCTGGGCATAAGCCTCATTGAATTGGAATGCTCCCTGTGTGGGCCTGGCTTGGAGGAGGGAGAATTTTATGCCACTGCTGCTTTCTTTGTGAAGCCTTTGGACTGAGATTTCTTCTCTGATTTGTCTGAGACACACTCAGAGCTCCATGCCTTACTCCCAAATACAGAGAAAAGGCATTTCTTGTGGTTACAGGTGCTCCAGGAGCACCATTTACTACCTGGAGCTACCCCTGGAGGGGATGGAAGTCCAATTGCGGGTGAGCAAAGGAACAGTGCAGCATGCGTGGCTGTAGTGTGGTCCTGGCACTTTTGTGTGCATACCATAGAGGCCAAATCACTCCGGGCCCTTGAACTTCCCCACCAAATTTGTTTATATAATTAAAATGTCAAAATTAGGAACACTACATTTTTTATATTACGTAGCACAAGCAGGAAACATATAGGTGGCGTATGCATTTTCAGAGCCCTTTCTGTCTCACTCTGGAAATAACCTTCAGCCCTATTAAGGCAGTGAGAACAGTCTGGTTACCATGGCAGCATTGAGATCCTGGTAGGGCCACACTTTCTTCCCCTGCTGAGTGTTTCTAATTGACAAACAACAATTGAACCCTTTGTCATTAAACACAGCAACATCTATCAGTCTGCAAAATGGTTCAGGGTATAAATTAAGCTTCATTTTCAAGTTCTACCTGACTGGTAAGCACGTAAGATTATATTTTATTTGCATGAATAAAATCTTACATTTTGCATTGTTTATTCAAGACAGAGTTTATTAACTCAGCATGTTGAAAACAGAGAGGGAGTCACTTACATTGGATTCAAGAAAATTCATGAAAAATCAATTTTGAAAGGCATTGCCTTGACCAGGCTCCTGGTACCTACTTAAATAAATGTCAAAAGGTGGGGGTGCAGGGTGGGGGTGGGGTGGGGGGAGAAACACCCGCTACGAGCAAATCTAGAGCCTTCCCCAGTTATTTAAAAGGAACTTGAGTTGTCTATTCCAGGTCTCAAAATACCATCCTGGGGATAGCTGTTATGTCATAGTTATTTGTTAATGAAACTGAACGCCTGAAGCAAGAGACCTTAAAAAATGCGCGTGCACCATCCCATTTTGTAGATGAGAGAATAAGCTTAGTACCTCGCCCAAGGTCATTGAGCTCATCACAGCACTGGCTCTGTCTGTGTTCTTTCCAGTGTACCATATGGCCTCTCCTTGTGAAGAAATGCTTCTACTAACATCCCTCCCAGTTAGTAAACAGTCCTCAGCTTTAAAGTGTGGCCCTGGCCGATGTGGCTTAGTTGGGCGGACACCGAAAGGTTGCTGGTTCAATTCTCCGTCAGGGCACATGCCTGGGCTGCAGGCTTGATCCCCGGGAAGGGGCATGCAGGAGGCAGCTGATTGACTGTCTCTCTCTTTCTCTCTCTCCTTCTCCCTCCTTCCCTCTCCTTTCCTCTCTCTAAAAATCAATACAAATATTAAAACAAATAAAGTGGGCATGCGGATGTGTACTACTAGAGAACCTAGTGTCCTCACCCAACACGTTACTGTGTTCCAGCTCTGTGCTGTGACACATGCATTTGTTTTTCAGAAATGCCCTCCGAGCCAGCTCCTATTGACCTTTTGACACCCTGGAAAAGCTTCCCTGCACCTCACCAAATCTGAGTTACAGGCCCCTCCTCTGTGTTCCACAGGACTCTGGTCTTGCTTGCCTCCTCACATCAGGCCTGTGTTGGCCCTAGGCATTGTCGGCTGGTCCCTGGCACACCTGAGAGTAGGGTCTGGGCTTTGCTGGAATGGATGAAGCTGTTTTCCTGGCCTCTTGCTGGCGTACACTGGCTTCTTGACTGTGGTGATCTCAGTAACCATTGTGGCTGTTTTGTCTTCACTACTGGCCACACTCTGTCAGTCTTAATGCCCTTAAAAGACGGAGTACACGCCTCTGTCATATCCAGCCCTTTGAGTTAGGCCCTCCCCTGAGGAAAAAATCTAGGGAAGATGGTAGAAATCCATGTAACATAGTAGAATTGCTCTTCTGTAGTAGCCATAATAGCAATTTCCATGCGTTTAGTTTTATTATGTCTGACGAGTTGTTTTTTTTTATTACTACATTTTCCGATGAGAAGACATTCTCACGGAGGTGCAGTAAATTGCTCAGAGTTGCCTGGCTGGTGTGGTTCAGTGGTTGAGCAACAAACTATGAACCAGGAGGTCATGGTTCAGTTCCCGGTCAAGGCACATGCCTGGGTTGTGGGCTCAATCCCCAGTAGGGGGCGTGCAGGAGGCAGCTGAGCAATGATTCTCTCTCATCACTGATGTTTCTCTCTCTCTCTTCCTCTCCCCTTTTCTCTGAAATCAATAAAAATATATTGGGAGCCCCAGCTGGTTTGGCTCAGTGGATAGAGCGTCGGCCTGTGGACTGAAGGGTCCCAGGTTCGATTCCGGCCAAGGGCATGTACCTTGGTTGCGGGCACATCCCCAGTAGGGGGTGGGCAGGAGGCAGCTGATCAATGCTTCTCTCTCATTGATGTTTCTGACTCTCTATCCCTCTCCCTTCCTCTCTGTAAAAAATCAATAAAATATATTTAAAAAAATAGAATGATAGAAATTAAAAATATATATATTGGGAAAAAATTGCTCAGAGTTGCACAAAAAGCAAGTTTCCATTTAAGTGTATCTGAGCCTAAAGCCCATTCACTGATCCCACCAACTCCTTTGTTAACCTTAGCAATGGATTTAATCAGAGGGACTGAAGCTTTCCCTCTACCCCAGCTTCAGTCTCAGTTGTTTTTATTGTTGTTAATACCTAAGGCCTTCCCCCCACCCCCAACAACCTATTACTGACAGTCAGAGTTCTACGATATAGAGATATAGGTGGGTACTGGAATTCTTGTCTTTAAAAATACTAGTATAACACATTTGTAATACCTTAACTAATAATAATAATAAAAAAAAAGAATCATTTCATTGGTTGAGTGGAGACTTGAAATAAAAAAAAAAAAATACTAGTGTATGCACTACCATATATCCAAATCTTGTAGTATTCTTATAACCTCAGGAAGTAGTCACTCAGGAAATTTTCTTTTCAATGTGTTAGCCTTGGTGCTGGTAGATTTGCACTGCTGTGCTATTCAATTTATTTCTTTGCTTCAGAGGGCAAGGGAATCTGATAATGAAACTTTGAAATGATGTGGTTTCGTTTTGTTGCCAGTTCAAATCCCACTCAATTGGGATTTGCTTTAAAAATGTGCTTTCAAGTGCTAAGAAAGCACTAGTCAAAAATTGCAGTATTCCTATTATTTTCTAAACCTACGAGAAGTGCTTTTGTAGAGTGAAAATTGTTTGCCATAGGCGAGCATATACAGCATTGTAGAGGTTGAATCAATTGGTTTTTTTTCTTTAAGTCTGAATCAAGAATTTATTTTAATCTTGAATGATCCTCATACTAAACGTGATGGCGTGTGTGCCTGTCTCACGGAATTCATTTTCTTTCCCCTGTAGGCTGGATTTGGTTATGGCTTGCCAATTTCTCGTCTGTATGCTAGATATTTCCAAGGAGATCTAAAACTGTATTCTATGGAAGGAGTGGGTACGGATGCTGTAATTTATTTGAAGGTAATGCATTTTTTTTCCTGTTAGTATGAAGGCATCTACGCTTTAAAACTGTAAGTTCTAATAACTACTAGATAATAGACCATAGCATCTATTATCTCTTATATTCAGCCTCAGATTTACTTAAGTTTTATGTGAAAACCATGTTATGCCTCACCCTTGACTGTACAGTCAGATATAGCAAAATATGAAATATGGAGCTATAAAGAGTAAAATGATTGACTTTTAAAACCTTAATTCAAAGTTGTGATTTTCAAAAGATTGCATATCCATTGAAAGGATTCATCTAGCAGGAGACAGATTATCATAAACTGGAATCTTTTGGTCTGTTGCTTTAAAAACTTGCTGGCTTTCCCAAAGCCCCAATAACTCAGTTATCATAATATATTCATTTAAAAAGGCTGATCTAATAACAGAGTTCTCTGTGACACAGATTTTCTCACTCATTGATACTGTTATACTTTTCTTGACTTCTAAACTCTAGAATATTTGAAGTATTTTTTGAATAGGTTATATAAGTACATATTACAGAATTTTAATTCTACAAAAGGGAGAACTAAGTCTCTCCCACCACCGGCCCAAAATCACCCTATTCTGTTCCCAGCGGTAACCAAAGGTACCAGTTTCTTGTGGATCCTTCTAGAAAAATTTAATTTTTTTTCACACAAATGATTATTTCAGCACTTTGCTGTATATTTTTTTACTTTCCAGTATGTATTGGAGATCTTTTCCTATCAGTTCATATAGAACTGGCTCCTTTTTAACGGCCACATAGTGTGCTATATGTTATAAAATATAACATACATGTAATGTATTATACCGTAACTTCACTAGTATTTGGAGTGTTTATCTTAGATGCCAGTGCATTTGAATGTGTGATATTTGATAACACTTTATGGCTTTATGTTTGTAAATCTAGTATATATGGAATTTTATTTCTTTCTGAGCCCTTTGGGAGAATGGTTGCCCAGTGAACAGTAGTGCTTGGCCTAAGACGGTATAGTCCAAAGTATCTCAAAGCAGTATTAACTAGATTCAAATGCTTTTTGTTGTGGTCATGTGTACGTCAGTACTAGCTTTGAATGAGTGAATATTTTTATTCCTTTAAAAAAGCTTTCATTTCATCCTCCCAGTCTAAGTAATCTACTAAAATAGTATAGTTTTAATATAATTCAAAAAATATATATTAAGGTTTCTAATGTTTTAAATATAAAATTTGAATTCGTATTTCATGTGAGACAAATGGCACTGTGGCCCTTCGGTGTATGTTTTTTTCCATTAGGCTCTTTCAAGTGAATCATTCGAGAGGCTTCCAGTATTCAATAAGTCAGCATGGCGTCATTACAAGACCACACCTGAAGCGGATGATTGGAGCAATCCCAGCAGAGAGCCCAGAGACGCTTCTAAATACAAGGCACAACAGTAATAAATTACTTCGCTTTCTATCCTAGAATATCTGATTTTCCCTACAGTGTGCCAGCCTGTCAATTGATACTTTCAGCCAACTCTTCTTTGTGGTTTTATCACTGGGAAAGCAAAGTGAGCCCTGGCCAGTGTGGCTCTGTTGGGCGTCGTCCCATGCACCAAGAGGTCCCTGGTTCCATTCCCAGAATACATTCCCTGCTTTCTAGCTCCATCTCCACTAGGGGGCGTTCAGGAGGCAGCCGATCAATGTTTCACACTTCAATGTTTTTCTCTCTCCCTTTCCCTTTCTTTCTCTAAAATCAATAAAAACATATTGGGGGGGTGGGGAAAGCAAAGTTATCCTTAAAAAATATTGAAGCAACTTTCTCACCCTAGACAGGAAAGAGGACAAGAATTGGGTAACCAGAATAGCCATTCAAATAGAGGCCTTGTTGTCCCAGGAGTCCTTGCACTGTGGAGATCTTAACAGCAGTGAGCGGAGTTTATCATGCCATGAATTATATTTGAAAAGTAATTGAGTTGGCAGTTTATCATCATCCACAGGGCTTGACAGAAAAAAAAAGCTAGAGAAATACTGTGAGTTCAAACTGAAAAAAAACCAAGAAGTTAAAATTATCAATCAAGATAAATAAAATGCGGTATATCCACACAATGGAATATTATTAGTCACCCTTTAAAATGAATGAGGTTCTGGCACATGCTACAATATGGATGAACCTGAAATCATTACACTAAGTACAATAAGCCAGACCCAAAAGGACAAATACCATATCATTCCACTTATATGAGGTACCTAGTGTAGTCAGATTCATAGATATGAAAATTAGGATGGTGGTTGCCAAGGGCAGGGGGAATAGGGAGCTATTGCTTAATGGGGAGAGAGCTTCAGTTGGGGAAGATGAGAAAGTTCTGGAGATCAGTTGCACAACAATGTGAATGCACTTAACACTACTGAACTGGACATTTAAAAATGACCGATCATATTGAGATTTTTTATGCAAATTTAACATTGCAATTTTCCTCCTTATCTATGATAATAAAAGCGTAATATGCTAATTAGACCAGACTTACTTCCAGACAAAGCTGGGCCTGCAAGGGAAGCCCGGGTCCTGGGTGCCAGAGGGAAGCCGGTGCTGGCAGCCAGGGGAAGGAAAGCCTATGCTTGCAGGAACTTCCTGCACTGGGCCTCTAGTTATATTTTAATTGCATATATCTCTTCTTACCCTGAAAACCTTGTCTTAACATAATGCAGCAGAAAGCTATTTGTCTGCAAATATAGTTTATATAGCTTTGTCATTTTGTACCATTATCATAGCATTGGTCTTTTTTTAAAAAATATATATTTTATTGATTTTTCACAGAAAGGAAAGGAGAGGGATAGAGAGTTAGAAACATCGATGAGAGAGAAACATCGATCAGCTGCCTCCTGCACACCTCCTACTGGGGAGGTGCCTGCAACCAAGGTACATGCCCTTGACCGGAATCGAACCTGGGACCTTTCAGTCCACAGACCGACGCTCTATCCACTGAGCCAAACCGGTTAGGGCAGCATTGGTCTTTTTGATGAAGGATATAGAGGGTATCTACACTGATGTATTTTTTTTTTCCTATGGAGTCTTGTGATGGACCTCTGAGCAATATTGTGGGACTGGTCACTTACCTCAAATGATAAAATTTAGAGGAGTTTGGTTTGTGCAAGTGAGTGCAAGCACATAGGTGGTTATGCCTATGTATACACACATAGGCATACACCACCACCACCATCACCACCACTACTGGCCAAGATTAAGCTACATCACCTTAATACACCTGGATCAATTTCCTTTGATTCCCTTCTCAGTCTGTATGTAAGCCAGGTAGTGTGTTGGGCATCAGTGTGACCAATTAATTCAAACTATTGCTCTGATGGGGGAGTTGTTGAGTAGTATAGAAGCAGTCTTTTAAAATAACATCCATTTGAATTGTAAAGAGATGGCTTTAGTTGACTATTGTTTTAAAGGCAGTTTTAAAGCTAAACAGTTTAGAGGTTGTATACTAATTCAGATGTGCTTAATTAGCCCTGGCTGGTTTGGCTCAGTGGGTAGAGCATCGGTGTGCAGGAGGCAGCTGATTGATGTTTCTCTCTCATCGATGTTTCTGACTCTCTATCCCGCTCCCTTCCTCTCTGTAAAAAATCAATAAAATATATTTTTTAAAAAGATGTGCTTAATTAGTATACAACACTGTTCAGCACTATAATTTCTAATATAGTGTTAGACAAACATATTTTAGCAAAAGACAATTTTTAAAATGCTAAAATGGTTAGCCTGACAATTTAAATTGTTAAATCATACAAGTAGGATAATCTTGGGGAAGTATTCACTAGGTGAATGAGAAATTCTAAGAAAACTTATTCTCTAACCAGGCTTTTAACAGTTTTATTTATATAATTCATATACCATAAAATTCACCCTTTTAAAGCATACAATTCGGTGATATTTAGTATATTCACAGAGTTGTGTGGCCCTCACCACTCCCTGATTTTAGAAAATTTTCATCTCCCCCAAAAGAAACCCTGTACTTGCTAGCAGTCATTCCTCATTTCTACTCAGGTTTTTAACTGAGAGTAAAGTATATATACGTAATTAAATGGTAATTCTTTTTTCTGTAGTAACGATAGAGAATAATTCTGAGATAAGGCAAATATTTTTTAATTATCACTCTAATTAAACACTGAGTAAGTCTTGGTTAAAATAGAGAAGGTTATACTCATAAACTCACTATGGATTTTCTCGTTATTTTCTTTGTAGAGACAAGATCAAGACTAATAGAACTTTCTAGAGAACTGAATGCTCTGGTCCTCTCTGTGAAGAAAGATCATCTTCCGCAAGTCAACCTCTGAGCTCCTTTCCTCTACCAACTCTGAGTGTGACACCATAGTTACTCCAGTACTGGACCTTTCCCAGAGAAACTTCCATGTAGCTACTTCAGATCTTCCAACTAGCGTAGTAAATTGAGTACCTTTATAGTATGTTGTGATTTGGTTGGTGCCTGTCATAAGAGAGCACAGAGCCTCGTGAGCGCTCTCGTGAACTCATACCTCTCTCCTCATTATCATAGAGTCAAATGTCTACAGTGTCCCCAGGGTTCTAAGCTCCCTCCTCATCCCAGATACAGATCTCTACTGTTGTACTTTGTGACCAAATACCATGTTTGTCCCAAACCACTGACTAAGGCCTGGGGAATTGAAGACATTAGCTGAGCGATAATTCAATCCCAGGGCCCTTCTCACATGCATCACTCCTCGCTCTCTGATGGAGAGTTTTGCCTTCTGCCATCTGATCGTATTCTCATTGTGAGGTGTGTGTATTCCACGTTTAGTCTTTGATGCATTTGTTTTATTTTAAAATCCACGTATATGCTTCTATTATGTCCATTAAGCCGTTCCAAAAGTTGTCTTGGAATTTTTCACTTAACTGCTTGGCTTCAAAGATCTTAAGTGAAAAACTACCTTCTGGTCACTGTCAAGTTTGTAAAGAGTGGGAAGTAGAGCTTTTATGTTTATGTAAACTTTCTACTAACCTAATACTGTACCTTTGTCATATGATACTGCTTTGTAGTTTCCTAAGGAATTGGAAGTCCTTGTGTGATGTACTTCACTAATTGTAAAATAGACTAAGGGTAAAGTTCTTTCTACTTTATTTTGGAAAATGCCCTACATCTTCATCATTTTCATTTTCATGAATTTTAGCCAGTGTTAGAATTGCCGATCTGATTTTCACAATCGTTTGCTTTTGGCTGAGAGTTGGAATTGGCAGAGGACTTAAGGTGAGGGAAAAGGAGCCGTTATTATTGCCCCATAGAAATGGAAGCTATCGGAGAGTCCGGATTACAACCCGCCACTTACATAGCTTCACGGGGTGTGTTTCTTTCATTTCATTATGTGCTAGTTCCCTTAATCTTTAGAAAGAACTCGCTCATGTCTTCCATCCTCAGAGGATCTCATCAGAGACATCATAATCAGTTAGGTAGAAGAAAGGCCACTGTACATCCAAGACAGGAATGACAAGATGGTCTTTATGGAGGCTGAGTCAGTGTCTTAGGATAGGGCTTTTCCACCGGATTATTTCCTTGTGTAAAAAAAATGTAGAAATAGTGGTTCTTTGCATTTAAAAGCCCTGGCTTCCTTATACATGTTAGCTAGTATATGAGTATCTTCCTAGGCCACTATTTCTAACATACTCCTGCCTTGTTCTGTTTCACTGTGCTTGAGGCATGCCCTTTGATTGTGATGCCCTTACAGCAAGATCCGTGTAAAGGTTGAAGATGGAAGATAGGGTATGGGAAATCCTCTCACATTCCTCCCTTTACCGATCTTTTCCAAAAGAAAAGATTTTTTCCAATGTTTTAGTGACTTCATTGGTAGTCCTTTACTAATATGCTTTCTAGTTGACTCATATCCATCTGACCCAAGTACAATCTTGCCTCCTATTTGTTTTCTGCATTAAGAATTTAACTTTGCTCCCAACGTAACCATGAGCAGAGTTTCAGGAACATCTGGCATTCTCACAGTTTAGTGACCCAATATTCATTTATTGTTTTTGTTGGCTATGCATGATTCTTTGAACTTCCGTGCATCCCGTTGGCTGTTTGATGGGTTTGTTTCTGAGCAAATGGTCAGATGTCTATCTATAAGTTGTAATATAAATAGGCATTGACCCCTTTCCTGCGAAATTCATTTAGTTCCCTCAATTCTATTGTTTGGATTTCATTGACTTGATTTTATTTTAAGTATTTAGAGACTGTCTACTATTTGGAACAGTGCCAGGCACATAGTAGGTGCTTAATAAATATTAGTGGAATGAAGGAACGCAAATTGAGAGACATTAACCTTGGGTGGAGGGCAACATCTTTAAATTCTTAAGCTAGCTTTTGTTTCCAAATTAAAAATCGTTCCATTCAAGAGCTGTAGAGGTACTGAATTTCCTATTCATAGTGCTAAGCAGTGACCTTGAAATGTAGAGAGATGAAAGAAAAGAAGTAGGGATGGATCCACAGAAGGTTTCTGATCCTTTTTTTGCCTTTAAATATTCATTTTGACTCCTTAATACAGTGGGTTATTTCCATCCAACCGAGTGGCATGGTTTTATGGCCTTGCTTGTAGATTCCAAAGAACTTTCACTCACATAGAGCATCCCTTGATCCTTACCGTGCCATGAGGTGGACCATGCAGGCATTTTCTCTGTTATTCATGAGTCCCAAAGCAGTGCAGTGTTTGCCAAGTGGCACGGTAAGTGAATGGAAAAAACCAAAGAGAGTAATGGGTCTCCTTATTCCTAGACCTATACACTCAACAATGCACCAGGTAGTTAGTATTATCCTTTTTTGAGTGTGTGGAGAAGATAGAAACCAGTTTTTCTACAGTGCAAGAGAATTCCATTCAGTTTTCATTTTGGCATGGTTAGTAAGAGGAGCCAATCGAATAGATTTGGCAACTTTCACCGAGGAAGACAGGCAACTTAAAGTGCAAGGCAGTCGGTAATTGCTAGAGTTATTTAGATTTAATTTTATGTTTGAATGAACTTAGTGCTCTCTGCCAGCCATTCACACAAAGACTCCTCATTTGAGAGTTGATGGTTTTATCTTTTGGAGGACTGGTTGCAGCTTCATTTAGATTTTCTTGCTTATTTATGAATGTTACAGTTCCTTATGTTCAGTAACTTGGCTGCCTCTCAGGTTCTTGGGTCACATCCTTTGTCCCTCCATTCTTTGGGCACCTCACTTTATTGTCTTCTAGTGTCTGCTGGTACTGAGCCAAGTCTAGATCTTTCATCCCCTTTGCTAGATGACCTGCTTGATTGTCTGCGGGACTTGTGATTTCTTGTTTATTCTCAAATTCAGTAACTTCATTCGAGTATGTCTCAGAGTTGACAGTCATCTGTTGGCTTTTTCTGGTTCTCAATGAGCATTAGATATTGACATTTGGGCCTAACAGTATTTCTTTTTTAAAAAAAAAATATTTTTATTTACTTTAGAGAGGAATAGAGAAGGAGAGAGTTAGAAACATCAGTGATGAGAGAATAATTGATTGGCTGCCTCCTGCACGCCCCCTACTGGGGAGTGAGCCTGCAACTTGGGCATGTGCCTTGACCAAGAATCGAACCTTGACCTCCTGGTTCATGGGTTGACGCTCAACAATTGAGCCACACCAGCCGGGTTTGACTATTTCTCACTGGTTTATTTGTTCTCTTCAAGTTTGTACCAGCATGGGCTCTCTGTTAACTGTCCTTCACATTTATCTTTCATTCCATCACTGTTGTCTCCTTGTCTTTTTTCCTGCGGTGGGATTTCTTTCTCTGCTCCCAACCTTCCATCTCACTGACTCCGTTTTCTGTAGTGTTGATCCTAGGTCTTGATGCTTGCAATGTGGCTTTCACTTCTGCCCCGAATTTATTTTTTTCTCTATTTCTTTCCTTAGCCCTACCAGCTTTTCTCTCTCATCATGTTGTCCTCTTTGGCTCCTTCTTCTGTTACTTTGGAGGCTGAGCTCTGTTATCTACATTGTTGGGGTTTCTGAAACCATTCTCTTTCCACAGTATGTTTATCTGTCTTTTGTTTCATTCATTCCTTTTCTTCTGTGTTGCTTTGCTTCGTTATTGTGGCACAAGTATGACGGCCTTTTCTGCTTATTATTCTTCATTGCATGGGACCAGTTCTGTCTGCCCAAGAAGAGTATGGAGAAATCCTCCTTGACTCCTTTCTCAAGTAAGAAGAGTTTGAATGATCACCTTAGCACTTGAACTGTAAGGCCAGATCTTGATGGTCTCTAATGATGAGGCTGTTTTGCTTTTCATTCTGCTCTCTGGATATGGGGGAACAGGGAATGCATCAAAGACCCCTTGGGCCATGTTGTCTGTGAGTGCCTTTCGTGGACACTGTGAGATCCTCTGCCCAGGAGTAGCCATGTCCCACTGAAGAAGAGGGATTCCCCTTGACTTTCCCCATTTCTGCTAGATGTCTCACTAGCAGGAGTGGAGTGGGTTCATACTTAGGCTCTGCTGGAGTCTACATACAGCAGGTCCTCAAATAACATCGTTTCATTATAACATTAGTGAGGTGCCGTAGGAACTTAGCTCTTGTTGATATCAGTTAGCCTATGGGAAAATTGCTTTTGTTTCACATCGTTTCACGTCAAGCCAAAGACCCTATCAATGACGTTGAGTGAGGACTTAGTGTAGTCAGCATTTGTGGCTCCTGAGTTAGTTTCTCTCCACGGCACACAAATGGTGCATCTGAGATCAACCTCCCCTCTTAGGTTTGCTTTTGGAAGTGCGCCCATACAGTATGCATTCAGCTTCTCCTGCCTGCCGCCAGTCCTTGTTTCTCCAAGTTCAGAAGAAATGATTGGTAGAGAGTCCTTTGGAATGCTCTCAGGAACAGCCCAGCAACTGTGGCTTGCTTGACAAATTCAAGAACCTTCCTTTGATGAGTCCCCAACTTCACTGGATCTGTTAGACACTCCCCTCGAGTCTTTGGTATGTGGTGGTAGCTTTTATTAGTTTCATTATAGGCAGCTTTTTCAGTTTTTGGTTGAGTGTATTGAAAGGGCAGGAGCACTTAGATAAACATGCATTTATTCTGCCGTCTTTCCCAGTGGTCTGGGTGCTTAAACATTAACTTTGAAGAGAATGCCCTTCATAACCATAATCTATGTTAGTAAACAGAAGGACCCAATATCGCTAGCAGGAAGAAGCTTTAATAACTTGATCAATATGGGATTTTTGTTTATTGTTCTTAGTGGGAAGATAACTTTTAACTCAAATTCCTGTTTGAATGATTAGAGATAGAAGTGCCTTCTGGTTTGAAAGTAAGGGACATGTGACATTTTAATGAATGCAAGATGTTATCAGCCATTGACAATTATTTATTAGTTAAATATGATAGAATATTTCAAGCAAGCGTATAATCAGAGTTACCAAGATAAGTATAAACTATTTCTTACTAACAGTTCACTACTTGAGCTGCC